CCCAAATTACTAACAAGATAGGTTCTAGACCAGTGGTTCTCAACCTGTGCGTCCCCAGGTATTTTGGCCTTCAACTCCCAGAAATCCCAGCCAGTTTACCAGCTGTTAGTATTTCTGGGAGTTGAAGGCCAAAATACCTGGGGACCCACAGGCTGGGAAGCACCACTCTAGGGTAAGGTTGTCCTAAGTTGGATCTACCCCAAGGCACAGAAGAACAAAGGATTGGCGAGAACCAGCTCTTGAGTCTTAAGCCAATATAGAGGCCTGTGGACCCACAGTTGAGAACAACTGTTCTATAGGGTTGCTCTTAAATTGAATGTGTATGTAAGTCGGAACATGTACATTTTCAGTGTGACTCCAGCCATATTTATGTGTGTATATAAGCTCTAGATGGCACAGGGAAAGGTTAACACCCTTATAGTGTTTATTTTGCTGCCTGTGCCCCTGTTCAGAAGATTTCACCTCACTTTCTGTCCTTGTGATAATTGGGTTTTGCAAAATTTGACTTGTTTGGTGAGAAAGGATTGGCGAGAAGGCTTCAGTGGAGACACCTTTTCCCCATGGTAACTCTTTCAGCAGTGAACTTCCCTCCCCAGGGGTACATTTCTCTCGCTTCCTGTTGTCTCTCTCTCAACACCCATCCTTCTTAACTTTGAGTCTTTTTGTCGAAGGCTTTCACTGGGTTGTTGTGAGTTTTCCGAGCTGTGTGGCCATGTTCCAGAAGCATTCACTCCTGACGTTTGCCTGCATCTGTGGCAGGCATCCTCAGAGGTTGTGCGGTCTGTTGGAAACTAGGAAAATGGGATATATAAACCCAATTGTCCTAATTTCCAACAGACCTCAACCTCTGAGGGTGCCTGACATAGATACAGGCGAAACGTCAGAAGAAAATGCTTCTGGAACAGGCATCCTCAAACTGCGGTCCTCCAGCTGTTTGGGGCTTCAACTCCCAGAATTCCTGACAGTTGAACAAGCTCGTTAGGGCTTCTGAGAGTTGGAGGCTCAAACAGCTGGAGGGCCGCAGTTTGAGGATGCTTGTTCTGAAATATGGCCATGCAGCCCGGAAAACTCACAGCAACCCTATGAGTCTTTTGCAAGTCGGGGACTGCCGGTATTGTAATGAAGTTCAAATTGCATTATAGGGCAGTGTATATCCAGCCTAAATTCGAAAGTGCTTTGCTGTGCGCCTTCAAGACACCTCTGATTTATGTTGCCCATAGGGCGAGGAGTGCGCCTTGCCCAAGGTCACCCAGTGGGTTTCCAAGGCCAGGCCGGGAGCCCTTGCTCTGGAAGGGGCATGTTGGGGCGCGTAGGAGCCCTTTTCCGGAAGGAGGCCTGCTTTCCTGGCTCCCCCAGGGGCCCAGGACAGCCTGGCCCCGCGGGTAGGCGAGGGGATTTCCTCCCAGGCAGGTTCGGGCTTCTCAGAAGCCGCGGCTCCTTCCTTCGGATCGGCAACTGCTGCTTGTGACGAGGGAGAGAAAAAAGCCCTTGCAAACCCCAGCCTGGCGTGCGATTAGTCATCCGCAGAGTTTCCCTCCAGTCAAAAGCAACCTGGCAATCCCCCAAAGCTGGAACCATTCGGCGAGGGCTGTTGCATGGGGCTCTGTGCATGTGTGTGTGTAAACGGGTGTGGGTTTGGGGCTGGGAGGGGGGGGGGGGGGTGAAGAAGCAGGAGCGGGAGAGGCCGCCGGCGCCGCGTGTGTCAGCTCCTCGCCGTCTTTCAAACGATCGCGAAGGGTTTTTCATCTTGGCAGTCAGATTAGCAGCTCACGAAGCTGGGCGGCTGGAGCCCGCACGACTTCTTCTTCTCCTTCTTCCTCCCCCCCTCCTCCTCCCGATGCCGCCGTTTATCCTTCAATAAAAAGCCTCTCCCTTGACTTGAAACAGGAGGCGACGCGTCTCCCAGCGGCCCTCGCCAAGCCCGGCCGGATGCTCGCCCCTCCCCCTCTCTCCGCATTCAACGCGCATCAAAGCCCCTCCAGGAAGCCCTCGCTAAACGCGCCCGAGGGGAGACTCTCCCCGAAAGATATACAGCCCCCCTCGAGCCAGCAACACACAGAGACAGCTCCCAGCACGAGGGTCTCTTTACTTCCCCCCTTGGGGCAAGGAGGTAAATAATACGCATCGCCCCCTTTAGAGGTGCAGTCCTGTGTGCTTCTTATATGTATTTCAATCGTGTTGTCTTTATCTCTCTGTTGTGATCCTCTTGTAACCCGCCTCCAGCCGTAAGGAAACATGTGAAATACATTAATTATTATTATTATTACATATCCTAACAAAAATATTACTGTCTTGGTTTTTAGGTCTGCTCCTGGGATTATCTGGGCCGCAGATTCAGAAAATTGCATAGGAGAGACTGCATTAGCTCTAGTATCTTAGATATGGTTTTCCATGGGCGATAGATGAAGATCAGTATTGGGTTGCTGTGAGATTTCCGGGTTGTATGGCCATGTTCCAGAAGCATTCCCTCCTGAACTTCCGCCCAAATCTATGGCAGGCATCCTCAGAGGTTGAGGGGTCTGGGTTGTTGTGTTTTCCGGGCTGTAGGGCCATGTTCCAGAAGCATTCTCTCCTAGGCAAACCTCACTTGCCTAGTTTCCAACGGACATCCTAGGAGATAATGCTTCTGGAACATGGCCATATAGCCCAGAAAACACACAACAACCCAATGATTCCGGCCATGAAAGCCTTTGACAATAAGTTGGGGGCGGGGGGGGGGGATCTGTTGGAAACTCGGCAAGTGAGGTTTATATATCTGTGGAATGTCCAGGGTTGGAGAAAGAACTCTTGTCTGCTTGAGGCAAGTGTGAATATTGCAGTTGGCCACTTGATTAGCATTTAATGGCCTTGCGGCATCAAAGCCTGACAGATTGCTGCCTGGGGGAATCCTTTGTAAGGATGTGTTAGCTGGCCCCGATTGTTTCATGTCAGGAATTCCCCTGTGTTTTTATTGTTGCTCTCTATTTACTGTCCTGATTCAGATTTTTAAAATAATCGTAGCCAGGTTCCATTCATTTTCATGGTTTCCTCCTTTCTGTTGAAATTGTCCACATGCTGGTAGATATCAGTGGCTTCTCTGTGTAGTCTGACATGGTGGTATTTTTCGAGTGGTCCAGCATTTCTGTGTTCTCAAATAATATGCCGTGCCCATGTTGCTCTGCTATGGCTGACTTCTCAGGAGACAGATGATGATCAGTATATTTTCTGCATCTCAAAAATTAAAGCGGATACTAGGGAACTGGTACCATTTTTGGAATCGGCAGGTCAAATATACCCCGAAACAGATCTAACATTTGGGGCAGTTGTTGTTGTTGTTGGGAGTTAACGTCTTTCTATGAGAGCCCCACTCTTCTGTGGAGCAACCACAGCGAACCCTGCTTTATATAGACTCCCCCCAAGCCCAGAAAAGGAAGGCTCTGGCCTCCCTTTTCCTCCTCCTCCTCCAGAGGTTGAGCAGGTCTTTTCAGCAGTGCGAAGCCTCCGCAGACAGGCGCACAGCTCCCTCGCCAGGCACCGAACACCTCCATCCTCACCCTTCCTTCCTTCCTTCTTTCCTTCCTTCAGCAGCACCTTTTCTTCGCTTCCTTTATTAGAAACAGAAGGCACGCCTCCTCCTGCCTCGCGGGCGGGGACGTCGAGCCCCCACCCCTCCCCCTCCCCCAGAATTATTTTTTGAACACAACCACAACCTCACATTCCCTTCCCCAGCAAGGAAGCAGGCAGGCAGGCAGGCAGGGAAGAGGCTCTCCCTTTCTGAGGCGCAACCCACTCGGCCTCCCCTCCTCCTCTCTCTCTCTCCCCCTCAAATCCCTCATTACCAACCTCCCTCCCCTCCCCCTTTCCTCCCCAAGCGCAGCCAACCACCCATCAAATCCCCCTTCACCAGGCGCTGCTCCCGCTCCCTTTCCTCCCCCCTCTCCCCTCCCTCCTCTTCTTTCTAACTGCTCCCGCATCAGCAGCGCCTCGGCTTGTCTCTCTCTCTGTGTGTATGTCTCTGTGTGGGAGCCAGACCTGCCAGATCGAGCGCGAAGCTCAGCTAGGCTTCCCCGGTGCTGTCTCCGGGAGAGGCAAGGCCTTCGGAGGGGGAGGCCAGCGGGCTCCCTGCCTGCTCCTGCTACTTCCCAGAGGCCCACAAGGGAGGCTCCTCGGTGCCAAAGGCGGCCGCAGTTGTCTGTCGTGACGAACCATTCAATCCCGTGGCACGCAGGCGGGCAGGTGATGCCGCGGCTCAGAGAGAGCGAGCGAGCGAGCAAGAGCCGCCCTTGCTGGGGAGGAAAGGCCCCCACCCGGTCCTGGCCAGCACAAGGGGGCCCTTCTTTGCCTGAGAGAGCCGGCATGGCTTTGGTTCAGGCCCCGAGGCGAGGGAAACAAAGCCACCTGAGCTGTGGGCCCGTGAAAGTATCAGTGGAGTGGGGGATGTCAAAACAAAAAGGCCGGAGGCTTGGGTGGCCTCCACGGATAGCGGGAGAGTCTGCCCTGGAGCCAAAGCCGAAAAGGGAGAGAAGGAGGAGCGGGTCTCCTTTGCCAAGGCCTCTCTGCGCCTTCTCTTCCCCTGAGGCCAAAGGGGCCAAATGGTGGCGACGGGAAGGAAGGAAGGGGAAATGGCGGAAGGGAAACGCAGCCCTTGCATCCGCTCCTTTCTCTGTTTCGCTTCGAACCAGAAACATCCTCGCAGGGCCTCGCATTGACCACTCAAGTCACTTTCAAGCCCGTGATGGAAGAAAGTGTTTCACTGTGCAGATGATTTCCCAGGCTCGACTTCGAGGCCCAGATGGTGATTATTACACAAACCACATGAAGACACATTAAGGGCTTTCTTTCCTGCGCTGTTTGCTCTCAAGGGGCTGTTTGTTATGTTGGGGAAAACAGCATGAAATGGCCAACGCGGACGGGGCCTTTGTCGCCAGGACAGGGGGGAGGGAGGGGAGGCGAAGGGCGCCTCTTTATCGAGGCGGTGGCAGGATTGACAAGGCAGTGGGAGAGGAAGGGAAGCCGGTGCGGGAGGCTCGCTGAAGCTAGAGAGAAGGAGGGAAGGAAAGAGGCAGGGAGGGAGGGAGGGGGGAAGGTGTACTGCCCCCCCCCTCCGCCTCTTTCCCCTCCAAAGGCCCTTTTCCAGCGCCAGGCAGAGGGCGAGCCAGAAGCCGGCGAGGAGCCAGTCTCGGGGCCTGTGCGACGCGAAAAGATGGCGCTGCCTTGCCTCGCCTGGCTCCCCTCCCCCTCCATCCTCCTCCTCCCCTTCCCCTCTCGGCTGCTTCCACTTCCTCCCCAGGAACGCCGCTCCTGCAGCCGGACACCGTCCTTCCTTTAATAGCTCTCGGTGGGTCTCCGCTTTCTTTTTTGTTTTTTCCCTCCCTTCCGCCCACCCTTTTCTCCTTGGCTTGTTAACTTTCTTGTTTGCGTTTTGCTGCTTCCCGTGTTTGGTTTTGGTTTTAGCGCGCCAGGCGGCTTTGCTGGGGGAAGGAGGAGGGAAGGCGCGGCCAGGGACAAGGAGAACGGCCTCAAAGGTTTCCTTCGAGGTTTGGTCCCGGATTTTCCCTTCCCCCTCCCCCGGCCTTAATTTTAATTTTCCTCTGCCCCCCCCCCCTTCCTCCCAAAAGACCAAAGAGTCCAAGTGGAAGAGGCTCGGACGAGGAAGGAAAGAAGGAAGGACTCAGTCTCGCCGGAGATTTTGGCCGAGTTGCTCTCTTTTCCTCCCCCCCCCCCCCCGAGGAATATCCACAAAGGACTCAAGCCCTTTTAGGATCTCAAACGTTCAGAGCAGGCCAACGAGTCCCGTGTGCTCTGCAAATAAATTTGCTTGTGGACGTGCTCTCAAGTTTCCAGTTCATCCCATACATACATTTACTAGGGTTTAATATTCAGAGGAGGTTCTGCCCGTTCTTTCCCCTGAAGCATAACCTACAGCAGAGCTTCTTCCACCTCTCCATTCCGGACCCCCTTTGGCCTGAGATATGTGTATAGGTATATAAAATAGGTGTAAAAAGCAAACATTGATTACAAAGCAGCATTTGCAGGCTTGCTAAACAGACTGGTCTTCCTTTTTATGGCGCACAGCTGCAGCATCCTATGTGAAATCCAGTGTAAACACTGCACAACAGATTTATGTACATGTCTAAGACAACGTTCAGAAAAAAATGTGGGGGCCCAAACATCGAACATTTGGGGTCTGAAGTCGTGGTTTAAGAAGCCCTGCCACACAGTACTGGCTATTTCGGCCTTTTGGTAGGTTTCTGTGAGATTTCCAGGCTGTCTGGCCATGTTCCAGAAGAATTCTCTCCTGACTTTTCTCTCACATCTATGGCAGGCATCCTCAGAGGTCTGTTGGAAACTAGGCAAGTGAGGTTTATATATCTGTAGAATGTGCAGGGTGAGATAAAGAACTCTTGTCTACTTGAGGCAAGTGTGAATGTTGCAATTGGCCACCTTGATTAGTATTAAATAGCCTTGCAGCTTCAAAGCCTGGCTGGTTCCTGCCTGGGGTAATCCTTTGTTGGGAGGTGTTAGCTGGCCCTGATTGATTTCTGTCTGGAATTTCCCTGTTTTCTGTTGTTCTTTATTTACTGTCCTGATTTTAGTGTTTATTTTAATACTGGTAGGCAGATTTTGTTCATTCCCCTGCTTTCCTCTTTTCTGCTGAGATTGTCCTCATGCTTGTGGATTTCAATGGCTTCTCTATGTGGTCTATATCAACCTCACTTGCCTAGTTTCCACCAGAGGCAGGCATGTAGCGGGGGGGGGGGGGGGCTTGGGGGGCTTCAGCCCCCCCCCACCCGAAATTCTCATGGTGGTCCGCGAGAAGGCCTTACTGGTGCATTATTTAAACTGTTATGTTTATTCATATCATGATCTGATCATACTCAATATATCCCATATGCATGGGGGTATTGGGGTAACGATGCAAAAGGTTTGTTAGGGTAGACCATCTTTCACTCAGACTCAGACCCCACCCCGAATAAAAATCCTGGCTACGGGCCTGACCAGAGGTCACAACCTCTGAGGATGCCTGCCATAGATGAGGGCGAAACTTCAGGAGGGAATGCATCGGAAACCTGGCCATACAACCGGGAACTCTCAGATGACAGTGAATCCCGAGTCAAGTTCTTTGATATTCATGTGGACACCATAGCATGTCCACCCTAACAATAGTTAGGACAGTTACTCTAGAGACTAGGACACGGAGCAATGGATTCACACTTCAGGAAGAGGGATCCCACCTAAACATTAATCCCTTCCTGATGGTGAGAGCTGTTTGGTAGTGTTATAGGTTGCAGAGCCAACCTTAAGAAATGGGGCCACAAATTGGAGTCCACGACAAATTGGAGTCCACGACATGCGGGTGTGGAGAAGAGACCACCTATTACAATGCAGCCTGTCCCCTGCCACATGCACCGCGACATCAAAGGCACTCCAAGTGGCCAGCTTCTGGTCAAAGGACATTTAGTATAAGGCCAAGTTTATAACCTTGTTTGTGTTTTTAAAGACATTACAACTGTACCCTCGGTTCGCTTCTGATACGATAAATAAATAAATTGGTTGCCTGGGAGTGTGGAGGAGTCTTCTCCTCTGGAGGTTTGTAAGCAGAGGCTGGATGGCTATCAGCTGGGAGGGCTTTGATTGTATGTTCCTGTCTGGCGGGAGGTTGGACTGGATGGCCTTTGGGGTTTCTAGAATCCTAGGGTTCCTCTCTCTTGGGGCCTCAGCAAGAGGCGTGGATGGGAGGCACTGGGAGGCCCCTCCGGCTCTGCTTCCCTGGCTCCAAGCTGTCACTCCTCGCTTCCCCTCCCCCTCACACCGCGCTCCTCCCCCCGCCATTGTGGTTGTTTGATGTTGTTTTCCACTTCCTCCCACCCATCACTTTTAGAGGAGAGTGGGGGGAAGGAGGGAGGGAAAGGATTGCGACGAGCTGCACGCTGCAGATGTCACAGCCGTCGGAGAAGTTTAACTGCCTGGAAATTCAGTTACAAAAGAGAGCACCAACAGCCCTTTGAATCGCTTCCAAACTGTCTTTTCCTCCCTCCCGCGCCGCTGCTCCAGAAAGCCTTTGCGCTGCGATATACAAAAGGCAGCCTTACTGGGCTTAGGAGAGGGGGTATTTTTTTTTCTAACCCCTCCCTCAAACCGTTGTTTTCCTGAAGTTTGAAAATGAACCCCCACCTCTTTTGAGAGGCTATGAATGGCTCGTCTTGAGCCTGGGGTGTTGCAGAGGAAGAAGAGAAGGCCTGGCTGTCTCGTAAACGAGGCCATGAATTTTCTGGGGCACTTGTGTTCCCAGTGCATTTTGACCAGACATGGGCAAAGGAAGAGCCTCAAGCCTCTTCCTTTCCCCCCTCAGCCTTTCCCCTCTGCGTGGCCAGGGAGGAGTCTCTCATTCGGTATCAACCATGTCTTGAGGTTCCGGGTTTTGGCCTGCCACTTTTGGACTCTCGCTTGCTGAGATGTTCCTGCGAGTATCTCTGTAGATGAGGGGGAAAGGGCCTGAGGCTGTTAGGAATGGTGGGAGTTGAAGTCCAAAACACCTGGAGGGCCCAAGTTTGCCCATGCCTGCTCTATACATTGAAAATGAAAAGGTAGACAAGACAGGCGATCCTTGTAGGGGAAATAGCTCCTCTTTTTTTAGGCTGGAGAGATAGGCAGTGGGGATACACACAGCCATACTAGTCTGTGGCGAGAAACAGACACAAAAAAATCTCGTGGAACCTGAATGACAACTCGCTTTGTTTGGCATAGGCCTTCACGGACAGCCCGGGCCCTCTGGCTCCACGAAAGATGAAATAGGCTCAGCCTCCCTCCCCTTTGTTAGCCTTAAGGTGCCGCAAGACTTCGCTGCTTTCCTCCTCCCCCTCTTCCTCCTCCTCCAGTCGTCCTCTGCTATGAACACATTCGGTTGTTTTGTCCTGTTGTCAGCACCGGTCAAGCCGGCTTTCCAGGCTTTGGAAACAGGACCGAAACCTGAAAAACCTGGCTGCGGCGATACAACGATCGGGTCGCGAGCGCCCTTTTCCAGCTCTCAGAAAGAAAAGGAGAAAAACATCTGTCTCCAGCGCTCTCTTCTCACACCAGATCTGAGGCCTGATATTGAAAACAGGTGCGGGAAAAGGTTCCCCCCCCCCCTTTCTTCCAAAAGTGCTGCCTCAAATTCAGCCCTGGAGGGCTCTCGGGTTTATGCGGCTCCCCTCCCGAAAGTCACTCCAACGATCTGGCCTTGGGAAGGCCTTCCAAAATGCTCGTTCTCAGCTCCAGCTGGTATTTATTCCACAGCAGGCGTCGGTTTACTGCCTTGTTGCAGTGTCATCCACGACTGAAGGGACATCGACACCTTTTCTTATTTATCGTATCAGAAGCAAACCAAGGATGCAGTTGTATTTTAAAAATACAAAGTTTAAAAATCTTGGCATTTTACTAAATGCCCTTTGACCAGAAGCTGGCCACTTGGAGTGCCTCTGGTGTTGCTATAAGGATGTCCTCCATTGTGCGTGTGGCAGGACTCAGGCTGCATTGCAATAGGTGGTCTGTGGTTTGCTCTTCACCACACTCGTACTTTGTGGCCCCCTTTCTTAAGGTTGGCTCTGCATCTCTTGGTACCAAGGGCAGTCATTTCAGCGCCTTCCAAGTCGCCCAGTCTTCTGTATGTCCAGGGAGGAGTCTCTCATTCAGGATCAGCCATGTCTTGAGGTTCGGGTTTTAGCCTGCCACTTTTGGACTCTTGCTTGCTGAGGTGTTCCTGCAAGTATCTCTGTAGATCTTAGAAAACTATTTCTTGATTTAAGGTGTTTGTGTACTGGCTGATATCCTATCCGGATAGAGGATGGGCCTGAGATAGCACTGCCTCGGTCCTTTCATTATTGGCTGCTACTCTCTATCTTAAGAACAGACAAGCATCTCTAGATTACCTGGAAAGGAATCCCACTGGAGCATTGCAGCACACCAAAAGAAACATGAGAGTTGCCCTGGACCATTCTCTGACCTACAAGAAGCACTGCTTGAATATCAAGCAAAAGGTGGGCGCTAGAAACAATATAATACGAAAGCTGACTGGCACAACAACCTGGGGATCACAACCAGACACAGTGAAGATATCTGCCCTTGCGCTTTGTTACTCTGCTGCTAAGTACGCATGCCCAGTGTGGAACACATGACACAAGAGAATGAATGGAATTTGGCGCCACTTGAACTGCCACAGCTCAATCCGATTAAATAATAATGAGATATGTAGTTTGGTGAGACTCCCGCACTCTTGGGCAGAAAAGGATTTGAGACCTGGTAAAACTCCCAGGATTCCATAGCACTGAGCAGTGGTAATTAGAGTGGTATCAATCT